CTTCTTCCATGTTTGTACCTGCTATAGATAGGAAAACATAAATTTAAGGAAAAAGTTTGGGCCCACCTCTCTTTCCTTAACTCTCAGGTATTTGACCTTCAGAACTTGCCCATCCCAGTCTATGACCTCTTTGGGGTTAGAATAGGATGAGCAACATCTTACTTTGTTGGTACTATCATGAACTACTACTATCTTACTTACTCTACACCTGACAGACATTAAAAATGAATACGTTGGGGCCAGGGAGATGGCTCAGTGGAATAAGCACTTCCCTGGCAAACACAAGGGCCTGAGTTCAATCCCTGGTTCCGCCAAAAAAAAAAAAAAAAAGAATACCTTCTGTGGTAGGCAGTTTTGAGGACAAACCTCTATTTCTGAGAATGTCTCAACCAGAATCCTTTTGTCCAGCTGGCTATTTCCACTAACTCCAAGAAGATCTTTAGCAATTTTTTTTTTTTTTTTTTTTTTTTTTTTTCAGAACCAGGGATTGAACTCAGACCCTTGCGCTTGCCAGGGAAGCACTCATTCTACTGAGCTATCTCCCTGGCCCCAATCTTTAGCTTTTTACTGCTGAAGTCTACTCATCTCTTTAGGTGGTCACTTTTTTTTTTTTTTTTTTTTTTGAGACAGGATCTCAACTGTGTGGTTTAGGCTGGCCTTAAGTTCACTATGTGGCTCAGGATGGCCTCAAACTCATGGCAATCCTCCTGCCTCAGCCTCCCCAGTGCTGGGATTACAGGCATGTGTCACCACACCTGGCTAGCTGATCATCTTGATCAGCTCCAGGGATGACCCTTGTTGACTCTTTTTCTAAGTGATACACATCTGGTTTGTAGGAAACATGCATGACTTCTTTTTGCCCTGACAGACTCAGAATATAAGCCCATCCCAACAAAATAGCAATGTCTCTTGTGGCCTGTAAGAATTTTCAAAAGAACAATGCATCTAGTCTTCTAAATTCCAGGAAACCCTCTAAATGATACCATGAAAGGCCCTTTTCCCTGGTCTTTGCTGAAAAGCTAAGATCCCTTCTCTCCCTCAGCCTTCCTGTGATGTCACAATTCTTCAAAAATGCCTTTCAAAACCTTCAAAAACTTTTTTGATGGGCTGGGAATGCATCTCAGTGGTAGAATGCTTGCCTAGCATGTGTGAGGTGCTAGGTTTTATGCACAACAAAACAAAAACCTTTGAACTGTGTCTAAAGAAGCTACCGTCATCACTCAACAAGTTTTATAGAACTATATTTCTAGATCCCAAAAAGACGCAGAAAAAAAAAAGATGGATAAATATCTTTAAATGTAGGACCAGAAACCCATAGAAGTACAATATGAAACTTGTGATCAGGGGCCAGGGAGATACCTTGGCAGTCTAAGTGCCTGCCTGGAAAGCTCAAGGACACGGGTTTGGGGCTGGGGAGATAGCTCAGTAGAATAAGCACCTGCCTAGCAAGCACAGGGTCCTGAGTTCAATCGCCAGTACCACAAAAAAAAAAAAAAAGGATGTGGGTTCAATCCCCAGTACTGTATGCCGTGCTGGTCTGTGCCATGCCAGCCACTGAAACCAGGAGTGGTCGTGCATGCCTGTAATCCCAGCACTGGGAAGGCTGTAACAGGAAGATCACTATGAGTTCAAACTGCATAGCGAGATCCTGTACTAAATAAATCAATAAATAAAAGATAGCTAAAAAAAATGTTTAAATAAATAAAACTTTTGAACAAAATCTAATATACATTTGACATTCACAAACTAGAAAAGATGTAACTAGAGTTTAGAATTTTGTTTTTGCTTTTGTTTTCTGGCTTATGTTGGTGCTGGGGATCGAACTCAGAATCCTGTGCATGCTAAACCTGTGTGCTATCACAGAGCTATACTTCTAGCCTTGTAATTACAATTTTTTTTCAGCTGAGTCTACAAAATTTTTTTGCTTTGCTTCCTTTGCAAAAGCTCTAGTGCCCTCCAGTAGCAAAGCACCTGAAGCACTGTCTTTACCTTATTCTAACTCAGAAGAACCACCTGAAATAGGGACCATCTTGCATGCCTTTCCATTCCTCAAGGAATCGGCCTCACTTGTGTGTGCTTGCTTGTCAGGAAAAGGAACCCAGTTAAAAAGACAAATTACCCCACGTGATAACGAATATTCTTGGCCATCACCACCACATTTGGGTCTTGGAATCCAATGACTAAAGTACTATGGTGATTTCAACATCTGAATTACTTACAATTCATGTCCAGGAATAAACGTATAATCTACCCCTAGAAATCAGAATTATTTCAACTCTGGCTGACATCTGTCTCCCAGACATGCCACCTTTCCTATTCCGAGTGATTTTCTATTCAGTAAAGGACTACAGAGACAGGCTTGGGCCTAACTTTTCTCATGTGGCAGTGCCAACAAATCACTTGTGAGGTCAGAAAGCAGTCACTTCAACTGACCATTTAGGGGAGGAAGCTTCATCACCAGTGGCCTGCGGCACCAGCATTCCCATCTGTACCCGGTCCCATGCCAACACTCACAGGCATGCACTTTAATCACACCAGGGGAGCAGAGCAGGTTGTAAAAATTCACCGAACCTCACGACCCAAGACTCTCTACTATTAAAGCAATAAAGACATTACCTGTGTCACCTGGTTCAGATCAAAGAATGGGCTTTTTCAGGCTCAAAGTCTTCTCTACAGCCAATTCTGTTTTTCTGGCACGTTCTCCCCCTCTTACCACAGTGGACTCCTAGCACATCATTCAATGTGCCTACACATTTCTCCATCTCAAGCTCTAGTCTTTATTCTCCCTGAAAATGTTCAAATATAGAACCATCCAGATCAGGAGGTCTAGTTTGTTTTCTCCTTCTACAGGGAAACTTTACAGCAGTGATTTTCAACCTTAGTTGGAAAATGGAAAAATTTTTTTTAAAAAAAGGTCTAGATTCCATTTCCAGTATCTGATTCAACTGGAGTGAAGTCTGGGCATTAAAAGTTGTTAAAGCTCCTCAGGTTGAGGGAGAGAGATGAGAGAAAGATTTGAAAAAAATTAAAATGTGTTACAAGGAATGAGATCATTATCTACTACAAGCATATATGTAAAGAAATACTCTCCAGGTTATTCTAATGTGCAGACAAGGTTCTCTAGACCCAGATGGACACTCGCTCCAGAGAGAAGCTACAATCCAGTGGGTGGCATGCACAAACAGCAGGAGGCTCAAGAAAGAAACTCTACTTACTGATCATATACTACAGTCTAGGTTCTATATACCCAAGTCATCTTTCCTGTAGTACTTCATTTCTGTCTTCATAATAATATGTATAATATTTTACAAGGGGAAACTGAGTCTCTGAGAAGTCATACAGAGTGACTGGCATATATTAAAGTCAAACCCCAGGCCTGACTCTCAATTCTATATTTCTATGACCTCATACTTAGGTATCATGCCTCTTAGAGCTGGATGAACCACTCCCTAAAATAAGACATGTAGAAATCCTATCTATTGCATCCAGGGGATTTTCATGGATTTTCCTATGAATTCCACACATGTAGTCCAGCTGCCAGGGTATAGTTTAGGTTGTCAAAATACAGTGAAGCATTCTAAAGAAAACTTGGTAGGGGACTACCATGCCTGGTTTTCTTTTCTTTTTTTCTTTGTTTTGTTTATTTGTTTTTCTTTGAGATATCGTTTTTCTCCAAGATGAGGTTTCACTATGCTGCTCAGGCTGGCTTCACATTTCCGGGCTCAAGTGATCTTCTGGGCTGGGAGTATAAGCACACACCACCAGGCCCAGATCCTGTGTCTGGGTTTCTACTAAAGCACCTCCATTCTAAATAGTAGTATCTAGATCATCCTCTGTCACTGCTAACCTCAATCCTGTGCCTCTCCATACTTAGTTGTCCTTATAAATGAAGCCATCTTCCTTACCTGTCAGCCCTTTATCTAGTAAAATTATATAGTCCATCAGCATTTCTCTGCCTTATACAGCAGGCAACACAAAAAGGATCAAAATATAGATAGAATCAGGTGTGGGGGCACATGCCTGTAGATCCAAGTCCTCAAAAGTCTGAGGCAAACAGGATTGCTTGACCTCAGGAGTTTGGGGGCCAGCGAAGGCAACATAATGACACCCATCTCAAAATATACATACACAGAGTCAACTCTCCATTTCCATGGATTTTACACCCTCAGATACAACCAACAGTAGACTGAAAATATTTTAAATATTGTATCTGTATTGACCATCTATACCTTTTGTTATTATTCCCTCAGCAATATACTGCAGAAACTTTTTACATAGCATTTACATTTATTTATTATAAGTAACCTAGGGATGAGTTAAAGTTTATAGGGGCCGGAGAGATAGCTCAGTAGAATAAGCACTTGCCTGGCAAGTGCAAGGGCCTGAGTTCAATCCCTAGTTCCTCCCCTCCCCCAAAAAAATAATAATAAAATAAAATAAAGGGCTGGTGAGATGGCTCAGTGGTCTAAAGCACCTACCTAGAACAAGCTAAGCAAAGCACAGAGACAATGGTTCAATCCCCCAGCACCACATGCTGCCAACCCCGCCCCCTAGTGGGCTGAGCTGGCCACACACACACACACACACACACACAAATAAAATTTAAAAAATAAAATAAAATAAAGTTTATAGGAAGATGAACATTGGTTAAATGAAAATATTATTCCATGCTATACAAGTGACAAGCATCATGGATTTCATATTCCTGAATGGTTCCAGAAATAATTCCTTGGGATACTGAGGTGTGACTGTGAACTGGCTAGGCTGTAGAGGTCTGTTCCCAATATCACAGGGGACTCTGACACCTACAGAACTGGGAGGCTACAAGTATGGGCCAGTGACAATCCTGTGAGTAACTTAGTAGCAAATGTCAGTATTCATTGTACTAAATCAGCATTGCATTCTGGTTGAATGATGGGTCGGTGAGAAGAGGCAGGGGTCAGGGGACTCTAGGGGAACATTTCCAGCAAAGAGAAGACACTTGAGGATTTGGGTAGTACCTTTAAGATGTCACAGAGCAAAAAATCCAGTGTTTGTGCAGCTGTTCCTTGTATCCTGAGAGAAAAAGAGGCCAGATTAGTCAGAGTCCTCAAAATTCCGAAATTCCTGACTGCTGTCTGTCACTTCAACTGTCCTACCCCTCCCAACCTCAGCCCTTGCTCACACCTTGTGGCTTTTCAAAATCTTGTTTTCAGTCACTTAGGGACATTCCAACTTCCACTTCATACATCATGGGCTAAATGTGTGACATTTCCGCCTTCCTGTTTATAAACAGACATATATTTTAAGAAAAACTTCCTGTACTACCAAGAGTTCTTTCTAGCTTCACCTCTCAAGTATAAAATATAGCTGTCTTCATTTTCCTGTCAGTGAATTTTCCCACCTTCTTATTGTGCATATTACCTTAGTTCATCACATCCTCTGAACGTCTTCGGGAAGGAAAAAAAAATCTTGTCACCCTTTAGGTTTATCCCTTTATGCTGTCCAGAGTTACCTTTTCCAATAAAACTCGCTTTTTAAATTTTTAAAACTCCCCCCCCCCTTGGTCTTTTTCAGACAGGGTTTCGCTATGTGCTTCAGGTTGGCCGTGAACTCACTTTGTAGCCCGGGCTGGCTTCGAACTCACAGCAATCTTCCTGCCTCAGCCTCAGGAGAGTTAGGGTTACAGGCCCGTGCCAACGCGCCTGGCTGGCTCTTATTTTTAAAACAGTCTCTCCCAACTTCTGTTCTTTTGCCACTTAATTCGCCGAAACTTCTCAAAGAGAAGCCGGTATCCAAACAAGTGGAGTTCTAACTGAAAATCTCCAAGTAGGTGATGTTGCGTACTTGACTCCGGGGTTCCAACGTGACAGACTTATCCCGACGCTAAACGTGCTTGCCTATTACCGCCAGGCAGAAAGCTTTGAAAAGTTTGCGCGCTAAAAGCCCCACGCATGCGCACACGCCAGGGGCGGAGTCCTGCGTCCCCGAAGGCAGATCTCGCGATGTCTGGGGGAGGCCAGCGCGAGATTTTTTTTTTGTGGCGCTACACTGCCCGCCCCGCCCTGTTCCCCCATTTTTTGCACCACACACCCCCCCCTCCTCCGCTGCATGAGTGCAACCTTCAGAAGAAAAAGCCAGGATTCCTCAGCAGGAATTAGGTTACAAATTAAGTTGCTGTAACTAGCCGGGAGGCTAGCGTCAGTTCTTTGAGGCTGAGGAATTCTGTGAAGAACTTCCCGTGGGAGGCCCCAGAGACCGGAAAGCTAGTTCTTCGGACACAAAAAAACAAGAAAATACAAAAAGTCGAATCGGTTCCTCACTGTAGGGCACGTTCTACTGTTTAGTCTTTGCGCTAGGAAGAGCCCGGCGGGCTGCCGACCGCGCGGCCTCCGCGGCCTCTGCGCCTGCGCCCTGCGCCCAGACAAGCCCGCAGTACCCGCCGTGCGGCCCGCGCGGAGACGCCTGCAGAAGGTCGCCTTTGCGTCCGGGGACCAGACCTCGGGCCTCCGACGGGACCGACGCGGCGCGGACGGGCGACGGGCGAGGAGGAGCGGTGGCAGAAGGCCACGCTCAGACATCGGCTGCCGCGGAGGATGTTAATAACGAGCGAACAAAGATGGTCGAGCCGCGCAGCTATTACCAAGAAGGAGGCGGCGGCTGCGGCAGACCAAACGTGTAGGCAGCATCGAGGTCCTGCTTTAAAACTGTGGCCTCTGCCGGGGTGAAAATGCAAATAAGGTTAAAAAATCTTAGGCCGACTTGTTCAAGCAAACCTCAAACAACTCCTGCATGATTAAGACGGACTGTTGAGGCGAAATCAAAAAGGCAGCCATGCAAATTTTGAAACTAAAAAGAGATAACTCTAGAAGCACAAGCCAGAAAAGGCACCAACCATCAAGGCAGTGTTTTAAATGGCTTGAAGTTCCCGTCAAAGTCAGTTTCAGATGCTTAGAAGACGGTGTTTATGAGTTCTTATGAAAGTGGTGTTTCAGATATGACTAGATCCACTTGAAAACAAAAAGAGGAAGACAAGCTGATTTTAAAAGTAGCAATATGAAAGGATTTCCGAGGATACATTTCTGTATGCTCCAAAAAACATTCAGTTGCTCTAAACCTAGATCTTAGAGTCCGATGAAAACATACTTGTTATCAATTTTACCAGGCTCTTGTCTTCCTTTTGCATGATGTACTTGTAAGCTGATTTGTAGCAAGAAACTTCTTACAAGGAAAGTGATATTTTTTCAGTTGCCTGAAATTAAGTACAGAAAATGTATGTGTAAGCAGATGGAGCCAAAATTTGGTTCTGCATGATTCCAGCATTCCACCACAGAGAGGCCATCACTTTGAAGAGTTGCTAGCTTCTGGAGTGTTGCTTGTGCTTTTTGTTTTTTGAGATGAGATTTTTGAATGCAGTTCAGGCTGGCCTTGAGTTTACTAGATAGCCCAAACTGACCTCTAAACTGCTCAAATGCTCCTGCCTCAGCCTCCTGAGTGGTGAGATTACAGCCCTGTGTGACCACGCCCAGCCTGGATTTTCTTATTATGTCAATCTGATAGTAAAATTTAGCAATTGTAGTAATTTGAATAATTGCCCATTAACAAAAATTTGTATGAGAGTGGTAAATAAAAAGTTTTAAATTGTGTTCATTATCTAGAGGACTGCTGACTTGGTTGACAAGATAATCAGTTTTTCAAGTCAGTCTTGAACATTTCTTTTGCAGTATGGGGGATTGAACTCAGGACCTTGCACTTCCTAGGCAAGTGCCTATTCTACTGAGCTATCTCCCAGCCCAAACATTTTCTTTATTTTTAATTTTTTTATGTGTGTGTGTGGCCAGCGCAGCCCACCAGGGGGCGGGGCTGGCTGGCATGTGGTGCTGGGGGATTGAACTGCGGTCCTTGTGCTTTAGCTAAGCTTGATCCAAGCAGGTGCTTTAGACCACTGAGCCATCTCACCAGCCCCTCTTTATAAAGGAAAAGAAATGCAGATAAGGTGAATGAACTTCTGTAGACTTTAATAATTAAAACTAACTCATTTTTGTACCAGGGATCAAACTTAGAACCTTGCATTTGCCAGGCAGGCCCTTATGCCACTGAGCTATCTCCTCATTAAGACTAACTCAGAAAGAAGGTTTACTTTATCAAGACAACTGTCATAATGTGATGACACAGTCCTATAATCTCAGTGCTCTGGGAAGCTAAAGTAGGAGGCTTCAAGTTTTAGCCCAACCTGTACAATTTACTGATTTAGTGAGAACTACTGTCTCAAAAAAGAGGGGTTAGGCTGCCAAAATAGCTCAGCGGACTAAGCATCTGCTTAGGCAAGTACAGGGACTGTGGTTTGATACCCGCCACCACTGACATGTTGGCCCTGCCCCCAAGCATGCTGAGCCAGCCATGTGGTGGCTCAAGACTGTAATCCCAACTCTGGGGAGGCTGAAAACAGGAGGATCACTAGGAGTCTGAGCTGCATAGTGAGACCCTATACCAAATATATTTAAAAAAAAAAAAAAGTGGAGGTGTTGTCTACAGCTCAGTCTGAAGGCCCTGGGTCCAATCCCCAATACAAAAAAAAAAAAAAAAATAGAATGCTTTTGTTCTACATGATGGAATGGCTGTAGTGAAAATTAATTTGGGAGTTGGATGAAGACTTAAAGAACTGAATCTTTGCAGACACTTAGTTTATTTACACATGGGAAAAATTGCATAGTAACACTGTTAAATTACAAAATAAAACAATTTTCTTCTTGGGCACACCCCTCTAATCCCAGCTATGTGGGAGGCTGAGGCAGAAGGACCACAAGTTTGAGGTCAGCCACAACTTAATGAGACCCTGTATGAAAACAAACAAGGGGGGCTGGCCAAATAGCTCAGTGGATTAAAGTGACTGCAAGCAGACACTGGGGTGGGATCTCTGGGCGTGGAGTGCCTGTAATCCCAGCCTCTTAGGAGGCTGTATACAGGTGGATCACTATGAGTCCAATCTAGTAGTGAGACCCTAAACACCCTGTAGACCCTTCCCTAAAATACAAAAAAAAGACATCCCATTTTGGGACTGGGGAGATGGCTCAGTGGAATGAGCACTTCCCTGGCAAGCGCAAGGGCCTGAGTTCGATCACCGGTTCTGCAAATGTGTCCAGGGAGATGGCTCAGTGCACTAAGTGCCATTCTTTACATATTCCTCTTGATGTTATACAGTGGTGGAAAAACTGCTTTTATGTATTTAAGTGACTCTGGGTTCTTGAATTATTATGACCCCCACAGCAAATAAGAGAAACCACTGAACAATGAATCTGATATATATTTGTAATTAATGAAGCTTAGTTGAATTAGCACTATAGGACTTCACTTATTAACTGAGTAATGCGACAATTTTTCATGATAGATATGGTCATTTAAAAAAAAACTGTAGGGCTGGGGAGATAGCTCAGCAGAATAAGTGCTTACCTGACAAGCTCAAGGTCCTGAGTTCAACCCCCAGTACCACCAAAAAAAAAAAAAAAAAAAAAAAAAAAAAAAAAAAAAAAAAAATTGTAAACATGCAGATTAGGGTAGTGTCTGTATATGAATAATTTATGATAAATAAAAAACTTCAAAGAATTTTGTTGTTCATTCTAGCTCCACAGTCTCTTAAGTATCAGGGGCAAGCAAGTATTCTTCTCATAGCTAGAGAAAAAAGTGTTTCTATCAGAGGAAAGAAAATCTCCCAAAGAAGGAAAATGGGAGAAAGAAGGGCAAACTTTGGTTGTGATTCTCCAAGCAAAGCCCACCAAGGACAGCTCTGCTAGGGACTCCCCTTGCCACCCTCTACCCCCGTGTTTGTGTAGCCTCGGTGTTCATTTCAGTTATATCAAAGATGGGGAAAGATATCTGTTTCGGTTGTTATCTTGGGTATGTTAAAGAGCTTTTATTATAGTACCAAGATAGCCACCATATCTATTCATATAAGGATAAAAATTTTCCCATGTGACTTAATAGATTTGACTTTACCTCTTTCTCCTCCAACTGCATCCTATGACTACCTTTAGCTGTAGAGGATGGAAAAATTTGAAATTGTGTCCAGGAAAAGCAAGTATATTCTTTAAAATGCTGTACTAAAAATAACAGGAATCTAGATCTGAGAGCAAGATTACCAGCGCTTCAGTCACAAATCATAAAAATTACTACACTAATGAAAATTAAGGACACAATTTCTTTTTCTTTTTTATGTATTTAGGACAGGGTCTACAGTGTCTCACTACATAGATGGGACTTGTAGTAATTCTCCTGTTTTCAGCCTCCCAAGCTCTGGGATTACAGGCACACACCACCATGCCCAGTCTCAATCGCAGTCTCAGCATGCCCTGGGGGTGGGGCCAGCACCATGCCAGGCATCAAACCCCAGCTGCTGCACTCTGCCTAAGCAGGCGCTTTAGTTCGCCAAGCCATCTCTTTTGGCATTTTCACTTAATATCACTGTCATCTTTTAGGGTCGTG